AAAAAAAAAAAGAAAAAGAAAGACAGAAAAGAATAAGCGGAATGGATTAAAAATTTTCATTAAATTTCTCTAACGTCGAGCACGGATTTTTCATAATCCCGATGCACGGCCAGTGGCAAACTCGAAACACTGAACACGCGGCGCACCGGTCGCAAAACCATTTTCATTATTCGTCTCACTTTTATACGATGGCATTTACAGTGCGAAATCCGACGCGCGTAACGCCCTCTATTCCAGAAATAATTCTATTTGCCGTATTTTTATTCCTCTTTCTTCTTTTTTCCTTCTCTCTCTCTCTCTCTCTCTCTCTCTCTCTCTCTTTTGTTACTTTATACACGCACGCGTCGCGTATAAAAAAGACACGCACAGGTACAACTTCAAACGGGACAGGGACAGAGAGAGATAGAGAGAGCATCGCCCGTAACGATTTTTATTTGCAAGTGCGTAAAGCACTTTTAATATCTCTCATTTCGGGTCTCTCTAACCATTTTTCTTTCACCGCCGTCCCCACGTTCGTCCTTTGACTGTCCCGGTTGTGCACCATTTCTTTTTTCTTTTTTTTTTCGACAAATGAAAGTTTATCCGGCGAAAACAGCACTTGACTTCGGATTAAAGCGAGCGGAGGAACGTGTTTGTGGACAACGGAGGCCTCGAGATCCTCGTCGAGGGTGCAACGCGATCGACGACATCATTGCAACACTTTCACGCGTTTCTGGTTTACTTTCGCTGGGTCTCTTTTCGCGAAGCTAATTCGATATCGCTGGAGATTGGTGTCATTCACAATGGAAAAATTCAACTCCATTGAATTCTTTGAGAATTCTATGGCTTATACATTCAAACCATTCTGAATGATTGACATCCTCTTGTCAACTAGTATTAATTATTACAGTAGAATTTTCAACGCGTGTAATGAAAGAATCATAGTTTGACTAATTGTCATTTTCATTGATAAGAACGAATCGAAACGAATCGACCTAAATGTCGTGCGATATTTTATACTAAAGAATGCGCAAAGTGAATGAAAAGTTAAATCGTTCTCCGCAATTGATCAATAATACATATTTTATGCTAATATATAATTATGCTCTCTCTCTTTAATAAACTCATCTTTCCAAGTATTGCATTAAAATCGCAGAACTGAACCAACGCTGTTGGAATATCCACGAGTACCTACGGGCTTGTAAATTCGCACTCGGATAAAACGCAAGAATGTAAATGAGAGAGTACTTACTCGATTCTCAGGTTCTTTGAGGCAGTCTGCTTCGCATCCAGCCCACGAATTCCATCAAAAGTTGTCGTCATGTGCCTCCGCGCGATATTCCACGGCAGAAAATAGCACGAGAAGAGTCCACTCGCTCGTCGTTGTGTTCACGTACGCTGGTCGAAAAATCAAAGCCGTGTGTACGCTCGTCTTGGACGAACGCGCATCTCCATTCCACGATCCTTCTCTACAGACAAGATCGCAGAAATTTTCTGAATTCCAGCTTCAGTATTTTTACTTGAAAAAAAAAAAAAAAAAAAATTCACGAGTCGATAAAACGTTAGACACACACACAAGTGCACACACGCAGAAAGGTTCGTTCCGTCGACCGGAATCATATCGAGCATTGAAATTTATAGGAATTTTAGATTCGAAGGAATAGAAACCACGGTATATACGTGCGCGTGATAATGGAAACGATTCGATGTCCGACTCGCCGACGAACCAAAGATGCACGGCTATTCTCTCTCGTAGACGCTTCCTGGAACAAAATCACGCGGGCGTGGCGATTTCGGAAACCGAATTTTTTCAATACAGAATCGAAGATTGAAATATTGAATATACAAACTCCCACTGTTACAGAAACATTTCTGACCTTTGCAAAAGTATTCAGACTCGCTATTTCCCAGTCGTCACTTTCAACAGCCGGTCGGTCTGCGTAGAAACGAAATTGTAGAAAAACTTGCAGCTAAATATCGAACAGACCGGCACACTCCCCCTCCTCCCTTTCCCCGATCGTTAAAGAAACACACGCGAAAACGAGTTTTCGATGGGTTAAATGGAAATCGAAGGTTTTTTTCCGCCCCCCTGCTCGGTTCACGATGCATTCGCGTTATCGTCGAAACAACGAATTAAGCGGTATCAAAACTCACCTGGTAACAAACATACACTCGTGCAGGCGTATTGCTCTTCGCTCGCGTTTCATCTCCTTCCCTTTTTTCCCTTTCTCTTTCTCTCTCTCTCTCTCTCTCTCTCTCTCTCTCCCTTTCTCTTTTTTTGATTCTCGAACTCTATCACCATAACAATGCTCGGACGAAATCGGGCCACCGTGATGATGTTCATTCGTCGAGCTATTTTTTTTTTCAACCCGTCGGAATTTCCTCTGCATTTTGATATATGTCCCTTTGCGCGTTATCACGCGCTAACTATCACTCGTGGAGGGTATAATTAACGATATCCTGTCAACGTGTGAAATAACAATTGGAAATATCACGTTGAAATTATCAAAAACGAAAGGGAGATGCGTTTCGAAAATTTCGTGTTGTAACTAATTTCGCGGGTCATTTTTGAGAAAATCTCTTTCGAACCGTGTTTTATTGGATCGAGTGTACAATTTTATCCCCTTCGGTTTGATTCGAACGTCAAATGAATCAGTAAGTTGTCGTTATAAATTTTGTTGAAGAATCGTATTTGATTATTTGATTGCGTCCATTTTTTTTTTTTTTTTTGTTTTTAGCTCAAACACAGAGTATAAAATAAATTATGGAAAATACATATCGTATACGTGCTGTGTTTAACGAATCGTGTGTAGAGTCGTGAAATTATGCAAAAATGATGAAAGCTACGCTATTGTGCAGCAGAAATTATGGATACCGTGAGACTGTTGAGTATCAGATATCGGATAACAAATGAAAAGTCGAATTTTATTACTATAATAACGCGAGACCTCTTGCACGATAATTTGTCATACTTCTCTACGATTGTGAAATCTATCAGGCTTACGATTAGTAAAATTTACTCGTAGAATCTTGTTTGTTCAATTGCCGAATTTATTAGTGTCGTGCAAGCAAAGCACGTATAATTTACAATGTGAAATTAAATTACAACGATAATTAATTCAAGTGTACGAGAGAAACCACATCTTTTTGCTTTGAAATATGAAAGTGTACCGCATGTATTCGATGTTGAAAGATGTTGAAAATTCATTTTTCTCATTTCATTCCGAATACTGACGCGAATTATAGTTAATAACGATTTAACTCTTTCGGTATGATATCATCTAAAGTTACACGAGTATTTAAGTATTAATTAGTGATTGATTAATTAGTGTAGCAAGTGTTAGCAAAACGTACATTTTTACAAAACAACTGTATATTACATTTTACTATAAACAATTGTAACGTTTACTAACGAATGCTTTCTCCTGCTTAACTACATTTAATTACAGATAATTATATATTATATATTATTACAAATATAGATAATCCAGTCTCGTGGCATGAAACATAAAACGAAATTAAATTTTCCAACAAAAAACGCGAGCACTAATTTTCAGCCAACATTGATGATTATTTTCTACCACTGCTCAACAATTTATTACCATCCAAAAGTCCAAAGCTAACTGTAAGTAGAATGAAACAATCGAGATCAAGGTACTCACAATTTCATCCTCGATTTCTCCGCCAGTTGCAAATGCCAAATGTTTTCCATCGTCTGGACTTCGTACATATATATTCGGACGTTCCCAGGAAATCCATCGAGTAAGGTGTCCATCGATATTCCAGCAAATCCGCCGGCCATTATCGCCGCGATCACCATGACAATGCTAGAATTCAGCTCAGTGAGTTTACGGGGCCCGACTCCGACGTTAGGCGTCGTGATCTTGGACACCGAAGCTCCAACGATCTCCCCAGCACGGATTTCCAAGGCGGGTTCTATGTCGGTCCGGGGCTCGTTCCTAATCTTCGTGGCCATAATTCTGGACAGTTGGGTATTCGTGCGAACGCCCCGAGGCGTCGCGTTCGAGTCTACGATTCGCTGGTCTCGCGGTTAATAAACACTGTGGAAACTCTGTCGATCGTCGTTCCCGGAGAATCGTAGCTTGGAAACTAGCTCCCGGGGAACTTCCAGGATACCTGGCCTCCCCTCTACATTTCGATTCCGCAGCGTGCTTTTAAGCCATCCCTCCCCCTCACTCCCTCATTCTATCGTCCTTGCCTCTATTAAATTCTCCAAATTATCGAATGTACCAAATGTTCAAGATCGCGAAGAATTCGATGTACGCGACCACAGTCGAGATTTTTGTCCTTCTGTCTGCGAAATCTTCGTAAACTGCTTTAGCTTCGAATTTTCTTGATAACTCGTTTGCCATATGATATAACCGAGTATTGTGTCTTTTTTTTTTTTTTTTTTTTGTCAGAATTTAATTATTTAAAATCACTCCTCGATGTCTGCTTTTAGCGTTCGATGTAATTTAATAAAAAAGCGATTAAACCTTAGAAATGGCAGTGGGTTCGTCGTGCGTCACGTCGAACTATATGAAAACTGAGTCGGGAAGGTTCACTGAAAGTTTCCACGAAAACTTCTCCGAAACATATTCCATATTCCGCGCGTATATGTTATAGAATATTTTAAAAATCCGGATATTTTTAACTCGCGAACGTGAGGTATATCTGCCGCGAACAGCGAGGTACGTCGGGATAGTAAGAGAATATATATATCGAAGGACGACGGTGTCCTTTACGAATTTCCGTTGTACGAAAAAATCGAGCTGCCTGCAACGTTTCCCACGAAGATTTCGCCTTCGGTGGGTGGGGATTCCAAAGCCCCGCTTCGGAAAACGTGCAACTGCAGCCAGCCCTGCCGCGCAATTGAACTAATATCATCAGCGAAATTTTACAAGTTACGAATTACAGATTGCAACGCTGACAGATCCTCTAAATAAACGAAGTTCTCTCTCTCTCTCTCTCTCTCTCTCTCTCGAAACTTTCTACCTCTCTTGTAATTTTCAAACTCTCTCCTCTTGAAGTTTCAAGTTGAAGTTCTTTTTATCTCCGCTCTGTTCCGTTTTATAAAAAAATTTCACTACAGGCAAGAGCGATCTCCAATTACGTTCTTTCACTCCGTGAACGTTGCGTTATTTTTATTAATAAACAAAAACGAAATGTCCACTGCAGTAATTAAATTAAGTCAAATTATTGTTTTGTCTCTACTGCTCTTGACACTTTTCACCCTCTTTGTCGATGTCAGTCCGCTATCATCACCATCACTCTCCAAAGAACCGACAAATCGTTCAACCAAAGCTCTTCGTTTCACTCTGATTCACTGCAGAAGGGAGTGATACTTCAAAAATATTTGAAGAGTATGGGAAGTAAGCTTACGACACGATCAGTAACAAGTGAACGACAACATAATTGATGCGCTGCTAATTCAATCGGTGAAGCACTGAAACGAAAAATCCGAATGTTCAAGGCTCCGGTCGATAAACGTCGGTGTGAAAAATCCGATTATTCGGATGCCGGTCGGGTAAAGTGTTAATATTACACATCCCGCGGAGAGATAGGAATTCCAAGTTGTGTCGACCGGTTATCGATATTCACGTGCGAACGCGCAGTAAAACGGGTATCGCGGTTGTAAGCCAGTCGCCAGGAAACACATACAAGGAAAGAGCAGAAGGAAAAGAAAAGGAGGGACAGGATAAAGTCGAGCGTAAGGCAGTCTAATCGACCGTGTACCGTTATTGCTACTGTCAGGTACCACGATCAGCGAGTGCTCGACGCCGCGGGGACGCGGATCGCAATATCGAACCGAGGCGAAAACAGGGTCAAACTGATGACACCGTTCTCTCGTTGACGTGCCTCTGAGAGATTATTCGAACCAACAGTCGATCCTGCCCTAAATACAATGTTCCGTATCTGCGAACCGACGCGAGTCACTGGCTTACGAAAATATTTGGACATGCTTGTGAAAATCGGCACAAAATTTTCAGAAATTTCGTCAGCCCGAAACCTGTCTGTAACGAATCAGCTACGAGATGCTATTGTAGAATTCTTTTTGGGCAAATATTAAGGTTTGGCAATGATAGTAGTAAATATAATTGAGGAGTCGTTGAAAAAAAGAAACAGGACCTATGAAACGAGAAACGAAATTATTCACGAGGTAATCAAATGTTTGAAGTGTACACGTCTTAGAATTGACAGAGCGATAGTCCGCGAGCTACCACTACATTAGAATGGAAGATCTCTTACTCTCAGCAAATTTTCCCGGCTGAGGGGTAAAAATTTTTATTACTTCGGAGCTAAATCGATTCACTCTCGATGAGACTTTTTACGACGGTGGTGTTGCGATTTCAGATTTATACCGTTCGGCCAGTCGAAACATCGAAGGATCGAGATGGGATGAGTGGCAGCGTTTAGTGTTCGTCCGAAATATCCATAAACTGCGGACTCATAAAATGCCACTCTACCAGACGTTATTGTGCTCTCGAATTATGCTTAAGCCGCGTGGAATCCACGGCAACCTAATAAAACTGACAAAAGAACGACCGTCGCCCAGGGACTTTATTCCGACCTTTGAATTTCAAATTGTCGTCAGATATTCCGGCGAATCTGCGCGAGATTCTCTGTATCGGCTCTACGTGTCGATCGTTCGAAAATCGTTCACTGTCCCTTCTACGATTCCAATTGACGAGGAACTTTGCTCTCTTGTCTTCATCGAGAGACTCGCTGTTCGTTAAAGAACAAACTCGTTTTCTACACTTTCATATACTGCGTTGTACAGATTTTTAATTCTCTCGCAGTGCAGAACGTTCATTAATTATTTTAGTGTTGTTCAGTGAGACGACTTTTACTTCCGTTCTTCTGAAAATTTGCACGAAGGAAAAATCAGCGCGCAAAGTGTGTACTCGAGAGGCAATATTACGCAAACACTCGTAGATTCGTAGAGAATTTCACGTCTCAGATATTCGAGCGTTTAATTCGAGCGACCACGATCTCCCTGGCACGAGAGAGATGAAAAGGAACGTTCGATTTACGACGGTGAATTCCCTTTATCAGATCTCCAAACACCATTTTCATCAGACGTTGTTCCGCACGATGACGGAGAATCGTCGAGTATCTGGCCGATGCAACAACCCTGAACTCGAGAAAATAGAGCGGCAGAGGCCGCTGGAGAAAGGAGAAATCGCTCCGACGTAGGTTCCACCTATCGTTGAGCACCGTTTCAGGCAATACTCCAGAAGCTTTATGAACGATTGGACTCGTATTTCCGACAGAGAGTACATCACCGTGGACGTTTTCACGGCGAAAACAACGAAAGGGAGAGAGAAAGAGCCACGTTCCGTGGCTCCGAGGAAATATGAAAGCCACACCCGATCGAGCAGCTATATTTCATAACTCACGACGACCGACATCGTTGAAAAGAATCGTCACGAGTATCGTTTCTAAGTGGCCCGTGAAATTCGCGGCGGTGCCTGTTCGCGCAACCACCCGCGTGTCCCTTTTCGTTTCGTTTCTCTCTGTCAAACGACGATTCGCTGGTATTTTCGGCTCTTTCGGCTGGCATTTTTCGTAGGTGAGAGCGGCTCGCGCGCGCGTGGGCGTCTGGCAAGCGACCAAGAAACTTTCCACGGCTGCCACGGATCCAAACCACGGTACAGTAATGACTTCAAGGGCGGTACCTTTTGTACGATTCGTTCTCCCTTTCTTCTCACCTTTTGTTTTTATACGCCTCTCCGCGTTTTATCATACTCCGTGTTTTCCTCTCTCGCTTCTCTTCTTCTATTTTTTTTTTCTTAACTTTTCTCATTCTCTCTCTCTCTCTCTCTCTCTGTCTGTCTCTCGGCGCTCGTTTTTCTTTCTCTCGTTCCAGCGGCTCCACCACGCTGTCCCTTTATTTCTTTCTTTCTTTCTTCTCTTTTCTTTTTTCCTTTCCTATTTTTTTTTTTTTTTTGCTCCTCCGCTCCGGCCGAGCAGCACGATGGATTCTAAAAGCCATTTCATCGGCAATTTACGTCTAGATTCGGGCTAATTAGCCGGAGAATTGTTTGCGATTGCAGGGCGATCCCTCGCCCCGTGATTTCTCCCTACGTGCCCATCATCCGCGTAATTAAGCTTGCCCGCTTAAACATAATAAAGCCGGGTTCTCTGCACTCTTCGTTCCGTTCTGTGGATATTAAAAAATTCCCCGGGGAATCTCAATTTTCCAACCGACCGATTAATTCATCGCGAACGACGTAACCCACGAGACGCACGCGCGAATCAGGGTCCGCGAGTTCGTAGTCACGCGCGTTTTATCGAAATTAAATAATAATATACTTTGGCGATTGAGATTATCGTCAGAAGGGGAATTGAAACCTGGTATCTTCAACGAGGAGAAAATAAAATATGTAGTACATCCTGGAGATTGCAAACGAAATAATTAATTCTGAAATATCATCTTTTTTCTCTTCTGTACGCCCACTAGTCGATTTTTACGTCAAACTTTACTTTACTTTACTACGTCAAAATTCAACGATCATTTCCAAATATTACCATTTTATTTTAATCAGTTCGATGGTGAATCTCAAAGTTCCTCTAATTATTTTTCCGGTTCATATCGGCCTTTGTAACTTACGACGGTGCATCCCGATACTTACGAAACATACACACACACACACACACACTCACACACGTGTATATGCGCTAAATATATATTTGCACGTACGATATCTATTTGATAACATCTGAATGTAATGGAATCTGACTGAAATGGCGGGCGGAACAGTTTCCTGATCACGTGTACCGCGATAGAACGAAACGCTTTGATGGTTTCCGATCGTGGATCGTTCTCGCTTTCCCAGCGAGATGAAAGCCGGGGCAAAAACGAAAGAAAGCTTCGCGCGGTTTACAGGGTATTACGCGCAATCCATACTGATGTAATCCGGACGCGTACCATCTAGTAGTCCTTCGCAAAGGTCGCAAGAAATTCCCCGATGAGAATCGGACGAAAGGGATCCCACCGGGATTCCCACCGCTGTTCCATATATGTATGTATGCACGTTGGTAATTCCACACCCTTCCCGAGGAGCTTTCTCTTCCCGTCCGTTCCAGAACCTGACCATCCGTTTGTTCCGACGAACAGAACGTTTCACGAATTAATTTGTTCCTTCGAAGGCGGGCGAGATCCTTTCACGGTGACGACGTCCCCGACCGCGATATTGTACCGCAGCGAAGTAAAACAC